ATTTGTTCAGGCCATATTGTCTAGTTTGTTCTCTTCATATCTCTATCCAGGAATATAGAAATAAGCGACCTTGTGATACTCAATGTCCAATAAAGACATGCTATATTTCATTACAATTTTTGAATATGATAGCACTGAATTGAATTGACAAGAATGTCAACAAGATGGTGCGATTGGAAGGTCGAATCGTACTAGTTTGTTTTAATCTGAATATTTTTTTAATTGCATATATTTCAGTTTGCAAAACACAACAAGAATTTATATAGACGGTTTGATTGCCTTACCTGTATGTGTCTTGAGTAAAAACTTGCTATCATATTCCTCTCCATCTTTAAGTTATCCATGTAGTGGGTAACTTTAAAGCCTTTTTGACACAGATATCAACTTATAACTTTCACTGGTTGGATATGTAGTTGAAATTCTATTTTCGAAGTACATAATTGTTGTGATATAATCCGTAAATTCTACTAAATAAACTCTGTTCATACTACTACCTATCTTGCATTTTAAATTGAAAATAGTATTGTGTCAATAGTACATTGACTTTTACACTTCCAATTACAGTTCCTGAGATGCTCAGTCCAGCTAGTATCTGAACTTTTTAAAAGCAATATTATAAATAAAGTAATATAATCCTAAAAAAAATTTTTATTTTTTGATAATACAAAGTATTTATATTTATATATTTATATTAATCTTTATATTATTATATATTATTAAAATAAAATGCACATTGTAAAGAATATATATAAATATTCTTATATATATATAAGAAAGAAAGAATGTAAAGAATATATATAAATATTCTTTACAATGTGCATATACATATATTTTATATTTTTCGAAAACTATTTCATTTATTCTATATTGGAAAACACATATATTACGTTTAAAATACGCAAAGTTTTGGATAAATATTTTAAATGGATCCTCTGTATTAGGAGTTTGTACATCAACACCTGAGTTCATGTCTGAGACTCAAAAACTTAGAGTCTAATTTAAAAGCCATCTATCTACAGACAGGGAGATAGAGAGAGATTTCTGTATTATGTATGTAAAAGGTATAACAATTTAGTACTACAATCGGAACTTAACTTATTTAAAACTAAATAATTTATATAAATTTTTTGGTCATTAAAACAATGTAAAATTTTAATTCAACCCATGTAAAAAAAACTATAAATTTTGAAGATATAATTAAATTACCAAATATATAAACTAAAATCATATTATTTAAAAAAACTACTGATTTTATATAATAAAGTGCTCTAGGTATGCTTCAAATTATTCGAAATGTTGAACAAGCAAATGAAAGCTAATAAATTCACAAGAAGCTTACTAGAAGAGGTCATACAAGTAATAAATATACTAGACTAAAACACTTTAATGCTTTTGTCTGGAAAATTTGCAATTTTAATAATGACCAGAGCCATAGAAATACAGTCGTCCTCATGGCCTGCACACGACTGTGAAAATAATTGCTAAAATAAAACTCATACGCCCCATTGTGCCATTTGATAGGGAGAAGTCATACACAATTAAAGTTGTTGCAACAGATGCTACGAATGACTTGAAGACAATTCCAATGTCATTCAATTAAAAATGAATAGAATTTTGTTATTAGAAAATTCAATTATTATTTTATACAAAGAGAGATTATTGTGAGAAACGGAAATTCCAAATAGAAATTATTAACTGTTATGAAAGTATTGACTGTAACCCAAGGTAACTGAGTGCATCCATGAATGGAAAAAAAATGTTCAACCTGTGTGCATTGATTGATGTTTAACTTCTAAAAATACACAGAAAAAATGTATGTACACGTAATGTACCAGATACAGCATGGCGGCAAATGGCTAAAATTACTATACACATATCTGTAGTTGCGTCGAGATATTGTATCTTGTCCTACGTACTCATAGCTACATGTTCATTTTTATTAACCATATCAAGTGCACATGTGTTCACAGTCTCATACGTTTGTATAAAAAAATATATAAAAAAAACTTTCTTTATTTATGTTCGGTATGTTTTTATAGCATGCGGTGAGCGTTACTTGTCACTTTTAACGCCTATAAATTACTGTTTGGGGTCAAAAAATAATTTATAGTAAATATAGCAACTAATTGCGGAAAGCTACTATCAATACGAAATTTTTTGTTATTTAAAAGGAATTTTATTGAAATCAACTATTTAATTTTTTAACATATTTATGAAACAAAGTTAATTTACTTTAATTAGTTTGAAAGTTAAGGGTTAACCGAGTCTATATATTATTAATAAAATGCTTGTTGTTTTTATTAATTTCACAGATATTGAATTATTACAGTCGCAAAAAGTTAAAAACGTGGAAAATTTGTATTATTACTTAATTATAATCTATACACACATATATATGTATATATTTATATACTTGATAAAAAAACATATATGGATATTTTTATTTCTCGCCCTGTCCATAAAATAATAAAAGCGAAATTATATGCATATAATTATTTATGCACTTGAGATAAACAACGTGTATGGATATATTTATTTCTTGTGCTATTTATTCCTTTTCATATAGGATATTATTATCTCTATTTATAATATAACAATTACAAACTTATAAAATAAGAATATATATAGTTCAATATATGTGTTATAGCTAATATTTTTATTAGCATAAAAACTTCCTTTAAATATCCTTTAAAACGATTTAAGTGCTAATGTGATATGTAAATTTTAATATATTTACAGTTCTAAACATTAAAAAAGGATATTATTTTTCCATGATTTATTGTCTAATTAAACTCACACGGAGGGATGCATTTTCAATATTTTCAACACGCATAGTCTCAAAAAAACCCATTCAAAAAACTCTTCAGTTACTAATATCCTTAAAATGACAAATTCCAATAATCCCTCACACATTACTTTTAATTCGTTAAACATCATTTTATTTGGTGCTTAACATCCTTCTATTGACATGAGCTCAAATGATAAGTCTAGGTTGATTTTTTTAAAATTTTGTAAATATTTTTATGGATAACCTGATTTTTCTTAATATTTGTATCAAACTCATTGGAGTTGTGCTTTTATCACATACAGTTTTTCTGAAATCGTCCACTCCCTTCTTCGTAATCGTATTAAAGAAGAAAATATAAACAGCTAAAATGAATTTTTTTAAATAATGCTTGGACCTAACATTAATAGATCTAAGTAGCGTTTATAAATAATTTGTGTTTGTAGAGAGTGTCAGTAGCTTTGTTCAAAAAGAAAATGGGCATGTTTGGAGTAATAAACAACCAACAAGGATACATCAGTTAATATTTTGCCCTAATAATTCATTTTTAGTCCTCATGAAGCCATACCACTGAAGCTGTGGAAGCTATTAGTTATGATTCCCTCAGACCCACTGTTTTTTTTGTAGACTTTTCTTTTATACACTATGTATCAGTTAAAGCTGAAAATGCAGTCTTCTTACAAATAATTAGTTTATTAATTTATTCAACACTATGAGAAACAAATCATATTAGAATCCGTGTAAGATAATTTTCATTACAGAAAAGCTAAATCCTAAGTCTTAAAAGAAAAGAACAGAAAACATGGTACATAAAGTTAGTTAGTCTCTTTAAATATTTCAAGCAAGAAACTAATCTATTGAATATTGATTTGTCGAATTACGGAAATCAATCAGGACATGATTACAAAATCTTAAAATAGTTGGTTAAACATATCATGCAATATAAGAAAAACAAAGACGAAATTATAATTCTGTTAAATTTAGTAAGTATTTATTTGGTTAAATAAAAAATGGAGATGGAGATATCACTAGATCAAATCCCTCTAAACATTTTTTGATCGTTTGGAGATAACTTGAAGTACCATTTTGTAAAGAAAAGGTTCGACCTATGGAGACTTCAATTTAAGTCTAATTTGCTCTCTAAACCCTGTTGAACTCTATTTAGTTTGATTTGTACAAAATTCAATTTAAAGAAGTTCGAGTTATGGAAATTAGACTGTACTTGTAACGATCAATAGCTAGCCTATTATAATAAACCAATAAAATTTATATTATAGAGTTAATATAAATAGTATTTTCTTAATATATAAATATTCTCTTCAAAAAATAGCTTCATAGTTACTTACAAAAATCTTTTTATTAGAAATTTAATATAAACAAGTCTTTTTTAATGTGTATAGATTCTCTACAAGAAATTGCTTGATCGATTTAAGCAACTTTTAGCTTAAAGGCTAACTGTTGGAATGACATTAGAACCGATAATCTAACATAGTAAATTCTTTTTGTCAGACAACTATACAACAAGTGTTTTTCGGTTTTCGACATTGGGTCTGGAATTTTTAAATATATTGCTGTTTATGTGAGTTATTAATTGTCTGATATTTTATTTTAAAAATATTTCAAATGGTCTGAATGCTTTCATTGATGCATTGAAAGTTCAATATGATAACGATATTTTTTCAAATATTTCAAGGATTTTATATTCATTTGTGTGATATCGTTTTAAAATCTTTTAAACTTAAATGACTTTTTTAAACTTAAATATTAAACTAAAAAACATTTAAACGTCTAAAGCATATACAAAAAAAATGTTCTGTCATCATTTTAGTTAATGTTTTGTTTTTAGTTAATGAGGTAATGTGTACATTTCATGTTCATTTAAACATTACTTTGTTTACTTCGTTTATTTACTCAAATTACAAATCTCAACTTCACATTGGTAGAAAACAAAATTGAAAATTAAATTCCACAAAAATCGAATTGTGAATTAAACTACTTTCACGGTATTTTAAACAAAACAAAAGTCAAGGGTACTTCTCGTTAACGCTTTGAGGCATTTGAAACATGAAAAATTTTTTAAAAATATAAATATTTTAAAGTACACAAGGTCCTTTGCAATAGCAATACATAGCTCATAAGCATTTGTTATTGGAAAAGCATGGCTAAACAAATATGAAGGTATTTTGACATTAAACGTACTGCAAAGCAAACTTACCTGCCCTCATCCTCGGTGCTACTATCGCGTGACTGTGTTTGTTGCCTACTCCGTCCTAAGCGCATTATATTTCTTACTGTGCGTAAAGACATTTTCTTTTCCTTGGGCAGTGGACTTCCGTTGCTACTGGCAATACCAGCAATATTTGTATCAACCGCCATTGCGTTAGCACTTGTTGATGCGGCCGCTGTTGGCGATTTGCCAAATTTGTCAAATTTTAATTCTGTTCTTTGGCGACTTGATGTTGAAGCGCCAGATTGTGCGGCCGACATGACACGTCTTAGTAAGTGGCGCTTCTTTTGGGATACAAAAGTATCGTTACCACTAGCGCCACTACTCCCAGTGGCCACATTGCCACCGGATTCTAAAACAAAATATGTATGGCTGATTAATGGAAGTTAATATATTTATTTTTTATTTAATTATTTATTTGATATTTGTAGTTATATATACATTATTATGATTTTGTTAAATTAAAATAATATTATTAATATTGTTTTTACTTAGATGACTTGGGTGACAAAATCAAATATATAAGGTAATATTAACCAAATATATCGTTTGTTACTATATCTATTTAAGCTGAAATTACTTATTGAAGTTTATGTTAATTTTAAATATTTATTATCTGGTATTTAAAAATATGTGAAACTATTTCCATTTTATTTTATTGAATTTTAATTTTTTTCATAAATAATTTATATCGCTATTATTTGTACATTATTTCGATATTTCTGTGAACTTTATCAATAATTTATGCACATTTAAGTGCTCCTTTTTGTGAAACAAAGCGCAAAGCGGATGCAAAAATATATAACATAAGTGGCATTGTATGTGGAGAGTTAAAACTATTTAAATGTTAAATAAATAAATATTTCATTTCCCAAAGATATATACACACGTAAATTATTATTGGGAATTTACAATAATATACTGAACTCAACTTTTTTCTTTTTTTATCTATCTGTGATTTAAGAAAAAAAATTTTATTTTCATTTAAATTAAATATTTTTTCAAATTATTTTTTAAACACTTTTAATTTCTAAATCCAGGTCTTGTATACTTCAACTTCATATTTATGCTTTAAATAAATTTTTTATTTAATTTATTTCATTATTTATTATTAAATCTTTCCTTGTAATATTGTTAATTAAATATGTAATTTACTTATGTCTACGAATATTCCATTTTTCGTTTGTAGAATTTTTTAATTTAAGTTTCGTTTGCATTTTATTAATATCTAATTTCATGAATTTTAGGTAAACTCAGATTTGCCCATTTATATGTAATCGTACACTTGCCAGAAACACATTAAATATTCTCTTTGAAATTTCTACCATATAATCATTTCTTTAAATATTACATTTCATCTATAAAAAATTATGTTTTCACTTTTACAGCCACTAATTTCGCTATAAAAATTCTATAAAGCAAACCTTAAACACTACATAACACTAACACAAAACACAAACGAGCAGAAAATTATTAAGTTTCCTTTTTTTATAATCTCATATGAAATAAATTTTCACCTCTATTCAGACTGCGCTCCAGGTTCGCTATGTTCTGTTCGATGTCAAGTAGCATCTGTTGATCATCATCCAAGCTGTGGCTGCTGCAGCTAATATTCTGTTGTTCCTGTATAGAACGCACCAAATTTGTCGGCTCAAAATTGCCAGCGGCGTCGTCAGGAGACGCATACTTTGCTTCAAATACCACAATTGCCTGCAAATACACCAAGGTAAAGAGCATTATATTGAGTACCAAAGTAATTAAAGAGTAAAAGCTGAAGCGGAGAAGAGAGTAAGGTTAAAAATTTGTTATATTTAGGGGTAGTTTCTATGGATTAGTACCAACGCATTACACATAACTGTAATGCGTTACACGATGCGTATGAGTAACATAAATTAACATGTACGCAAAAGGCAAACGCAGGAAATGGTACGGAAATAAATATTTTGTACGCATCCGTACTTGTACCTACTCCTCGCATACTTCTCTCTCTCAATGTTATGGTTAAGCAAGCAATACAGTTGTTAGTTTTGTTTTTTTTTTGTCGTTTAACAGGGATAAGGTTATCGTTTCCTTGATAGTCAAGTTATTGCTGCTTCGCGGAGGACTTTTGCAACAGGTGATGCTAAAAATGCTAAAAGAGCGTAAATGGCAAAAGTTGTTTGATTTTTTGAGGTTATCGTATACTTTTGTAATAAAAATTACTTGGGTAATTACTACTATTTGTTATGAAACCAAGGTAAAGTTAATATGTTAGGAGTTTGCTGTCTTAATTAAATGTGTTATTAGCTTAACAGTAGCTTTTGTTACATATTTTTCTGATTATACATTGTCTAATTTTAATGATATTATCAGTAATTTAAGTTAATATTTTGTTATAAATATAAATTAATATATCTATAAAAAATTATGTAAATGTTACTGAATTTAAGCCTTTAGGACAAATGTTGTTAATGTCGTTAGTTACATATATAATTACAGGAATATTACGTGCGAGGTATATTATTAAGTAGGTTATTTTTATAAATAATTTATTTATTTTTTTTTACTTATTAAAGTGTTAAGAAATAGTAATATTTAAAGAACTTTGCGAAATAATACATATCTTTTAATTATTATGTATAAAGAGTAGCAAAACACAAATCTCTTACTGATTTATCTGTATATTCGGGTACACCGAAATGCGGAAAAAACAGTAAGTCTCTTGCTATAGTCTCTTGCTAATATATTGTCATCTTTGTTGCAATCTGTCAAATATTATGTTTTCAACATTAACAACTTTTACGTATATGTGTAAAAATCGAGGTAAACTAAATTTTGTGTAAATTTAAATATTTATTGGAAAATTAAATATTGAAATTAATTATAGTTAGAAGTATTTATATCATAATAAGCATAAAAAATCAATAAGTAAAAAATTAAACGTGAATTTCATATTCATATTCAAGAAAACAATAAAAAATGTCTGAATTAAGTTTTAAAAATCTTCCCTTTTAAAGATAACTTATTCTTTTTTAGAGAAAATAAAAAAATTCGACCAAAAAAGATCAATTTTCAATAAATTTAAATTAAATTAAAATTTTTTAATAAACAATTTACTATCTTTTAATGTATAAGTAATTCGATATTATGATTTTCGATAAGAGTTCACATATAATAACTATTAAGAATATGTAACTTCATAACCTAAAAATTTCGTTACCTATAATTAACAAAATTGTCTTAAGGAATCTATATGATTGTAATTATGATACTTCAAAACTTGACTTGAAGAATTAATAACAAAATCTCAAATATATATGAAATATATATAAAATGATAAGATATACTTAATATATAAAATCTTTTATAGAAACCGGACTTAGAATTGATTTACATTCAAATGTTTTCAACAAATACCTAAATATTTATTTATTAGAAGTCTTCCTGTTGAAAAAAAAACGTTGGGTAACTGGCTTCAATAACCGATTATAGGAAATGGGGTCTGATATATATATTTTTTTTTTGAAAAATTGTTCGTAAGATTATAACTATTGACTAACATTTTTCTAAAATAATTAACATTGAATCATAATATTTCTGAATCCATTTAAAAATAGAATCATGTTAGGCATTAATAAAGGACGTTTCTTTAATAGAATTAAAAGTACTATATTATTTAGGCTATATAAATAGCTTTGTTTGGAAATTTAAAGACTTTTTAAGGAATATTTTTTGTTCAGATGGACTTTTGTTGTTATATTTTAAATTCAGTTCAATTAAATTATAGTTAAATTTTTTGCACTATAAAACATAATACCTGATATATATAAAACATAATTGTTGTTTTGGTGGATTTTTACGTTCCTGTGCTTTATTTAATATTTTAAATTGCATTCCTCGTATATCATTTTCATTTTTCTATTTTAATTTTTCGAATCAAAGCATTGTTTTTGTGAAGTATTTGAACATTAAAACGTATTAGCCTGTATATACGTTCTTATATATACACAAATCAAATCGATTCACATATAAAACAAATTTACTTTAAATTGTTGTAATTTTTCAATTAGTTTTTTTGTTGCTGTTATAAAATTATTAAATAGATTTGTTTAAATTATATTCTATTTATTTGTTTTTGTAATCATGTAAATTATTTTACAAAAATTAATTTCAGTTGGCAATCATCTCAAGCATAAAATAACTTTATAATCTCCAGTGAAGCGCATAACATTTCTCTTAACAAAATAAATAACTTCTCTTTTTTGGTTTACTTTATTACAACATGTGTTTTTGAGCAAAGCAAACAATTAAAGAAGATAAACAATAATTTTGAATGAAAGCATGCAAAAACGAAACATATTCAAAACAAACCATAAAAATGGCATACAATGGCATGAAAAAGAGCAACAAATCCTTGTTATCGTTACTGTGGAAAAAGCGCACATGGCGCACACATTACAGAAGCAATAGCAGTAACAGTGGCAGTAGCAGTAGCAGTAGCGCACAACACGGAAACAAAATCAAAAGAAAAAAAAAAAATAACAAGGTAACGTATAGACAGACAGTCAAGCTGTGAAAAGCAGTAAAGCTACCAGGGACCATTATAATTGTCTGTGAACTGACATGAATGAATTGTCATGGCTAAAGTAGAGTGAAGTACCGGTTGAGAGCGGGTGTGTTGTTGTTACGTTAACGTGCTTATATGGCTTCTGTGTTATTAAAACATTACATGCCAACGACAATTTGGGTGCAAAATGATTGGAAAAAGCATAATTTCGTTTTGTTGTTGTTGCTGTTTTATTTTCGATTGCTGTTGTTATTTCTCAATTTTGTAAACAATTTTTCATTTGCTTTTTGAAATCGACATTGTATGCCGCAGGATACTAGAGGATGTATTAATGATAGCATTTCGTCTTGAGAGCACTGCAACAAGCTGTCAATTTAAAGGGATTTTGTGATTCTGACGTTGATATCAAGTAAGAAAAATTAAAAGTTTGAACTTGTGGCACAATTGAAATTTTAACTTTATTAGAGAGATAATTAATTAAATTGTTTTATAAATTCCAATAAATATAAGAAAGTGAAAACCCATTCACTAATGAATACTAATATGAATAACAGGGCGAAGTAGCTAGTAGTCCAGTTCCTTGTTCTTAGTTAACTTAAAAATTAATTTAGTGTTAACTCACAAATAAATAAGTAAATAAATATGAATAAATTAAGTTTTATGGGTTTTTCTGGTTATTAAGTAATTTGTTATTCATAAAATTAACTATAAATAATATTGTTTTAACAATTAAAACTATGTAATATCAAATGAATATATAAAATATCCAAGGATTACAAGTATTACTTATAAATTAATTTCTGGTTATTTAAGCAATATGGAGATGAGACTATTAGGATAAGAATACTAGGCGTAAAGCTCGTATTCTTATCTGGTCTTGAACTGCAAGGCTAAATGCGATAAGGGTCAGCTTTTAACGTAACAGATATATTATAATAATACTACTCCGTTCAACAAAGAACACAGAATATTGTTATTTATTTATTCTAATTGTATTTTTATTGGGACAGTCCGTCGAAAATACTTCGACGGTTGATTATTTTTAAATGCTACAATAAATATGATAACCTTGGTAATCTATAAAAATTTTAGTATTTTTTATATTTGAAAAACCCAAAAAAGTAATTGTTAAAGAAGTATTACTGAAACAAAAATTGATAACATAACGTATCTGGCAATGCTTGTTACCAGCTCTTTCAAGTAGCCTAAAATTAATCAGAAGACTGATTTTTCATCAGATACTGTATATTATTAATGTATATAGGAGAAAATGGATAGGAATTTTCCAATAACAAGCTTCTAAAAGCTTGCGTTCATAATAACCTTTAAAATTTATTGAGTCTACGCTTATTTAGTGAGAAATTGTTTATGAACAATCATTACATATAAACATATTTAATTCAATAGACTTATTATGGGTTGAATAGACACACCCAATAAAGTATAACATTATCTTGCCTATAATAGTAGAGATATAATATTCCGAATAAAAAACATATCTAAAAGAAAACAAGTTCCGTTATTTTGCAAAAATAAAATGTATAATAGTAGATTGATGTTTCATATATATATATATTTCATCACATAACTATAAATACTTTTGAAGCCACAAACGGCGAACGCTTGAAGTCCCAGAAGGTTATTTATTTGTAGAGAATTGTTGATTGTTAAAGAATGCGGTTCTACAAAATTCGATATTTATAATTTGGAGTAAAATATACTATACTTAAAAGAAATTTGGGTAATAATTTTACAGAAGTGGTGTATTTCAAGTGACAGATTTTTAAACTTTTTAAACAACTTAAAATGTTTATACATTTAATAAACAAAATTGTCTGAATAATTTTGTTATGTTTTCATTTCACTTTCTAATAGAGTGAAGTTACTTCTCCAGTTTATTTTTAGGTATTAAAAGAATAATTTATCATTTAAGTACTCCAACTTGAAAAAAAAAATTTTAACAACAATAACGTTTTGAGAAACTAGAAAGTGTCGTTCTTAAGGTTGGGTCTTTTGATTGGTTAACTTTTTGTAATAATAAAACATTTATAATTTAATATTTTTTTAGATACATGACATTTATAGCTATATTTAATACTTTCTTGCTTATTCTACTAAGTTTCTTTGAAACTTGGTAGTGTTATTTTAAAGCTAAAGGTAGTTA